AACTAGTATACTTTTGTGCATACTACGCACAAATCATCCCGCCGTATGCGTGGACACAACGTCCAGTTGTGTCCAAAACGCTGGAAGACAATTTATGGCGTAGGCCGTATAGAGGTATTCATGGAGTGCTGGCATTTGTGTATTCTGGGTTCTCGTCTTTTTGGGAGGTTCTGGAACACCAATCCTATAATAAATGAAGAGCTGTGGTTATTTTCGCTACTTGACCATATATGGTCCTATAAGGTGATTGTGAATTTTTTGAGGATATCCTACAGGAGTATTTCAACCTTGATTCATGTAATCAGGTAGGTTTTTACTTCAAACAAGGGCAGACGAAGACCTGTGCTAGTGCACATCGCTGTGAAGTAACCATGAATAATAGTTTAGTTGTAGCACCCTGAATAATGCCCTACCACTCAAACAGAGCACGAGTGTTGAGCTACTGTCCACTACCCTAGCCTAGACGACGGAAGTTGAGGCGCAGAGGTTGGGTTCGAACCACAGATCTCTCGCATTGACCATTGAGTTATCTCAAGCTCGAACAAATGAATGTGAATGACACCGTAACAGTTGAAGCCATAAAGTGCCTTGGAAAGAAATTCAAAAGCTCCTAATTTCCTTCATTACGGCTACTCAAAATAAAACCAAGTGTATATGGTCGGAACTATTTCCTCGGTTCTGAAACTTCACAACAGGGTGTTCCATATGTTCAAGCAGGCTTGTTTCCTCGTCATTTGAGTACACTCTTAGGAAAATAAACCATAAGAACAGGCTTTTGATCCAGTTTCAAGACGTCAAAGATTCCCACTGCAATTTTCGATATCAGATTCATTATGCTGAACTGCGTACAGATTTGGAAAAAAACTTGCAATAGGTTCATTTACCATTTTCAGTTAAACGGCTTTCGTAATAGCACTTGAAAACATCTGTTCCAGATCTATGAATATCTACAAAACGGCACACACAAAAACGAGAAATTATGGCAGATTTGGCGAAAAACGAGTGGTAATTTATTTGGAACAAATCAATACCAAGTCATATAATCTCGGAGACAAACGTCCGAAACAGACAACAGCAAAATTTATCAAAGCAGCCTTCGCCCACGATTGCTCAAACTTGTCCAAAAGGTAGGTGCAATAACGAACGGATAATATTGATTGGAAAAGACGGTCGGTACGGAAATATCGAGTCCAGCACCTTGCTGCTTTGAAAGTGAGGTGACTTGGATGTTGAAAAATCAAAGCGAACCTTGTCAAAAGTCATATACTAACACCTCAAAAAATCTTCAAACTCAAGAGTAGTCAGATTTTTTAATGTCATGGCTTTCTTCATACTGCTTAAGGTGTAGAACGAAGAAACATTGGCCTCATTCCAGACAACCAAATGTCGTACAGCACCCGTGTTCTGAGTGTTTGATTCTATCAGCCAAAAACAAATCTGTCTAAACAGCGCACTTTCCCCTCACAACTGCTTTTTGAAAGGAGGTATCTTTGAAATGTTCGTAAGAGCTTTTGAAAACGAATACTCGCATCGACTAAATTCCACGGTCATTGTAATTTTCCAGGCACAACTTCCGTGAAATTATCCTGGAAAACTGGAAGCTTTCGGCCTGTCAAACCAACTTAAGAAACATCCGCTTATTCGTTATATTCCCCATGAGGTTTCCGACGACTAGCGAAATCATAAAACTCACTATGCCTATACAGCTGACAACCGTTTCAATACAGTAAGCTGGGCTGGCAGTCTTGTGGAATGTAGGTAGCTCGGGTGCACTGATTGGTTGTTGGTCTGTTCGCCGAGCTTGGCAATTGGATTGCAAACGTTTCATCACCAGTCGAGGTGACATCGTCAATGCAGGGTTGAGTGAGTCCAATCCAACTGGCGGTGCAATCCAACTGCCAAGCTCGGCGAACAGACCAACAACCAGTAAGCTGGGCTAAACAGGCGCTTTTGAATCCGAAGTCTAGAATGAGTGAATAACTCTAATTGTGTTGAAAATTTTTCCGTTAAGTCGAAAAACTTGCAGTTCAATAGCACTGAAGCACGCAGCGCTTCTAATTGTTTCGATGGTAATCCTAAGAGCTCCGCTCGCGATTGCTTTTTGAAAGGAGGCATCCCTGAGTTGTTCGTGAATATCGCTAGTTTTGTTGAAAATTTTTAAGTTGTGTCAAAAAGCGTGCAGTTCAATTACACTGGGGCACGCGGCACTTCTCATTGTTTCAGTAGTACTCCTTCGGGCTTGTGTTTCCGAAATTGAATTCTCTTTCTTTCAGCTAGATTCCTTAAGGATTAAGAGATGTCCACTGTATAGGCCCAAAGTAACAATTTTTCATGGGTAATAGAAACAGATTCCCCGTGATCCCCCGTACATCGGGGCATATCTATTAAAAATAAAGACTTCTTTTTCTCCATCTGCTAATGTGTTTGTGTCTGAGAGTAATTAGGATAAGTTGCACCCGAGGTACGTTTTTATGGTTAATCCTCAGTGAATTCGCCACCGAAACTCTCTTGGCTAACGTCTCACTGGTCATGCAATTGTCTAGCTTGTTGACACCAAAGAAAGGCATTGCCGAGTGGCAATACCACCTCACCCCTAATTGAATAAACTGGTGTCGGATCCTGAGTCTAAATGGTGGGAAATGCGATAGTCATGCCAGATTTACAACACTGCAAACCAGGTGTGCGAACAAATCGCGAACGTTTCTTGTGCAGGACAAAAACCGGCCGTGACAAAATAATTTTTACGCGCGTCTCATGCGCTCTTGACTGCAATCCACTAAGATTCTATTCATCCATATTTTCCATGAATATATATATATATATATATATATATATATATA